TTCACTCTTGTCTCTATATATACTATCTAACTAGGGACTACGTGGCGACGTTCTATAGGATCTCCAATATGTATTGACTTTGTAGAACACATGCCTTGATTTATAAGGTAAGTTTTTCTACGTGTGGGCCACATAGTTACCTTTATCTTCAAGCTAGCAACATGTGTGGCACATGGCCAACTTGTTGACCACGTTTCTAATCCAAAATGTCAATTAATGACACCTACGAAGTCAAAGCATCGTCTATGAAGCTTCTAGGAAGCTTTCATATTAAATACTATAGAATTAACTTATTTTTATCTACTTTTACTTACTTCTACCTATTTGTATATGTAGTTACCCGCTTATATAAGTATGTCCGTGACAAAGACATGAATTTCAAAAAACTAAAAAATCAATATACTCTTGTGTCACTTAAAAAGGCTAAAAAATTATTCAAAGACATTATGATATTAAAGTAGAATGACTATTGCTAAAGACAAAAAGACTAAAAAATCTTGAAATAAAATTAAAGACTAGAATGGCATTGACAAGAATAAAAAAGATTTAATTTTGCTTCCATATATATTATTTATTGAAAATTTAAGTAACAACATTCTATAGCACCTCTAACATGTTTTCAGTTTGTAAGATGCATGTCTTAATTTATAAGACAAGTTTTCTATATGTGTGCCATATTATTAGCTTGTACTATAATTTATCAATATGTATGACATATGGCTAATTTATTAGCCAAGTTTCTAATCTATTAATCACCTATAGACATGTGTAAAGGTTGAACTATATCTATAAAGTATCTAAAAGCTTTCTTATAAGATGTTATCAAATTAACTTAATTTTATCCATTCATAATATCTAAGTAATTTTTAGAATAAATATGTATGTTCTAGATAAATAGAATCAAGAAATGAATTGACAAGACTAAAGAAGGCTTCATGCTTATCTTTATATATACTATCTACCTAAGAATTATGTAATAATATTTTATAGGACCTCCAACATTTCTCCAATTTGTAAGACACATATCTAAATTTGTAAGATAAGTTTTCTATATGTTCTTGACATTGTTAGCTTGTACCACAAGCTATCAATACATACAATATGTGACTAATTTTTTGGCTAAGTTTCTAATCTATCAATCATCTTTAAACATATATAAAGGTGAATCCACATCTATAAAGCTTTTAGAAAGCTACTTTATAAGATATTATGAAATTAATCTATTTTTATTTACTTCTACTTATTCATATTACCTAAGTAACTATTAGAATAAATAAGTATGTCTGTGATATTAAATCTTGTATATTAGTGTAGATGTATGATGCATAGATTTTTTTTTCTTCCATTCTTTTACAAATATAGTGGTACTAAAGTTTTATGTCTTAATCCATGTATGTAGAATTGAATTTTTTACCAATTTAATAGAATTTTGATTATCATTATACAAAATTGTTGCATCTCTTATCTTCTATTCTAATTTATTCATCAATGTTTTAATCCATATTATCTTTAATATACCATCTAATAGTACTTCGTATTTTGCTTCAGTAGTAGAAAATATTACTATTGATTACAATTTCCTACTCCAATATAAAGGTATCTCTTCTATTTTGAAAATCATCCATATTGTTGATTTTCTTTTATATTAATTTCTCTTCCAGTTTGACTCTACATAAATTATAAGTTTTTTGCTCAAATTTTTGGAAAAGAAAATACTATAGCTAATCATGCCTTTAATGTAATAGAAGATTTTTATTTATTTATTTATTTATTTATTTTTTGTTTTGAAATATGGATGTTGTGGTGCCAATATGAATCATCTTAAGTAGTTGATTGCATACAAAATATTAGATCTCTTGTACATGAGGTAAATGAAGCTTCTTACAGGACTTTGGTAATTTGTTGTATCAATATGTTTTGCATCCATGTTTCAGTGTAACTTAGCACCTTCTTCTATTAGTGTGGTGACTACTATATAGTTTAGCAAGCTAATTTTTTTAATAGATTGTGTAAGTATCTTTTTTTGAATTAATACCATTCCTTTATTATACACATGAATTCAATTTCTTGATAGAATGTTAATGTTTTCAATTTTGATATTTCAAAATATTTTTTTAATTCTTATTTTAACAAATCTATTTTAAGAGGATAATTTCTAACATGTATAGTATGTTAGTAGGACCTTTTGAGCTAACAATTTGACAAGTTTGTAATTTTAATAAAAAAATTTAACCTTAATCAATTATATTATCTATGAAAAATAGAATTTTGGTGATTTTTGATATATAAGAAATGTTGCCGATTCTTTTTTGCTTTGACATTGTATTTGAATAATACATCTTCCTTTCATTTAACAAAATAGATGTACTGACCATTGGAACTTACATTGGAGTACCATATATTTGTGATTTTAAATATGTTTGATGAATCTCTAGCAACATGCTTGATTGCTCCTAAATCTAGATACTAATTAGGATCTTGAGTTTTAATATCTAAAGACATCATAGTAGCTTTAAAAATTTCTAATGTATTGACCATTTCTTCTAGTATCAGTTTATCTTAGATTGTGTTGATGTGCAATTTATACTCTTACATTTTAAAATTGTAATGATTGGATTTTTCCAAGATGCAATAATGACATTCTCAAACAAAGTTGTTCCATTCCTTACAATTGTTGCAATTGCCTCTTTGCCTTATTTTTATTCCTTTGGATGTTCTTATATGATTATTCAATGTTAATCCTCTTCCAAGAATAATTCTTGGATTTTTGGATTTTTGTAAAATGTATCATGATATTTCATGTTCTTAATCATTGATAGTACTTCATATTAGGTGTAATTTTCTTCTTTTTGAGATTCTTCAAAGAATAACTTACTATACAAGCATTCAAAGTTAAGAAGCTAGACTTGGCACATCACAACTTAAACAAAGGAATCATAACTCTTCAGCAATGCTCTAAGCATAATTTATACTACTATGGCGTCTGTTACCGAGTCTCTTACATTGGAAAGTTGAGCAATTGATTTCTTTACCCTCTTGATGAAGTCTTCTATTGTTGTGAATTCCATCATTTTGATATTACTTAACTTATTGCTAAGATATAGTGCTCTTGCTTCATTGATTGCTTCAAATATATGCTTGAGGGTCTCCCATGCTGCATCTGCATCTGGCTCTTCTGTATTTGACACATGATGCAACTCGTTATCACGTGTATCAACTTGGCTTTTACTTGAAATAAAACTACTTTTTACTATAAGGCGTGTCAATCGGATGATTTGTTCCAACAATTGGCTTCTGAAAATGTGCGCACAGTGAATGAAGAGAGCGCTGCTGCACATCAGAGACATGCTACTGAGTCTAATTGTTGCGAAAATGCTGCGAAGTCTATGGTTGTTGATCTAATTCGTTCTCCGCCAGGTGAAAGAAATGTTCATGGATGTAGCGCTTGTCACGATTGGAGCTGGAGCACGTGAGGTTAGTTACATTCAAGTGCTAATGGGAGAATCTACAGAAAGCCATGGTGGATGGATTTGCAGCACATGGCCATGGGGAGAGAGTGGCCAGTTTCAAGCAGGACTGTGAGATGAGCGGCGCAATCGGATAGCATGTGGCGATGAATAAAAAAACAACTGCAACAGTGAGAGTGTGTTGCAAGGGCAAGGAATAATACCACCACGTCTGCGGACGTGTGGAGAAGAGCACATCGATGCGAGACTGCCTTTGAATGGTAGAGAGGTTGGGACAATATTAGAGGTCGTGTAGGATTCATTTCCGATTCTGCGCAGTTTTGGTTCCGGGCAGTGGGTTTAAGTGAGAGTTCAGAGCAAAAGTAGGATGAGAGAATAGCAAGATCCTGCAAACAAAAACACGCACAACAAGTATTAAAAAAACTTTTATCTAACACAATCATATTTTAGAACACAATAGTCTGACTATTTATTGTAGTCTACGAATCAACATAATGAATAAGATTTGAGACACATTTTAATTTTCGAACTATTACAAATTCCAAAACATACATGTTTCACTTGAATACCAATTCAATTTTTCAGTATCTTTCTTTCTTTCTATTTTTTTTTTTTTTGAAATGACACCGTAACCGCACTAACTGTTGCCATCAAACACTTCCAACAAAGTAAGAGAAATAGGTAAAGCCCTTGAAAATGTCCATCCACCAGCATAACAAACTGAAGCACCTCTCTATTTCCCCATGAGCCTCTCTTCACTAGGGAACAAAAAACCAAAAATAAAACACAAAAAAACAAAAACAAAAACACACTCGAAGCAACTACACGGCCACTTCGGGTTAAATGCCCTCAACTCATCGTTAGCAACTTCCGAGCTCCTTCGTGACTTTCCACGTCACCATCTCCCGCGCTGCCACTTCGGCGAAGCACCAACCTAAAGCGCGCGCGGGCGAGGGGATCGTTGTCGTTTCCGCGGTGAAGAGACCTATCACCGTGTCCAGGGAGCTCGATCCGAGGCTTGTGTGTGGGTGGGGTGGCAGGTGCGAGAAGCTTCATCTTTAAAGCTGTGTGTGAGGTTCCTTCCTGGTCATAGGATGTGGTCCTTTATCCACGTGGCCACGGGTGTATACTGGACGTGAGTGGGTCCACTTCGGGGTCTCACCCTTCCCCGGCCCGGCCCGGCCCGAACCCAGGGCGGAGAACAGACAGAAGCAAGTTCATGGTGGCTAAGGCGGAGAGTGTGCGGTGCATGCAGTTGGATCGGGGCGTTTGGCGATGCTTGGAGGACGATTTTCTGCGAGGTTGGATGAGTGTGGGCAGGGATGGACGGAGGGAGAATTCTGGATTTCGGTGGTGGTAGATCGGTAGATTGTAGAGGAGAGGGGATTCGGGATCGAAGATTCGAGTAAGTGGTGTGTGGCTTATGTGTGGCTTCCAAGTGACGATGGGTGTGACGCCGGTGTGACATACCCGGTGTAAGCTTTTTCGTTAGTATGATTATTGTTGTTATGTTTTTAACTTTTAATGTTTGTGTTTGTATGTATGTATATGTGTGTAAAGAAATGAATAAATGAATGAATGAATGAATAATAATAATAATACATTTGTTGTGGAAAATGTGCCTTGGTAAGCAAGGTTTGTCGGTCTCGTGGTGATATCCGTCAACCTATGTTCACCTACCTTCACCTGCCATGTGGTTGGAGCCTCTCTCTGCGACTACCTCAGGGTGCGGGGAGGAGTGTTTGCTGTTGGGGTTTCGCCGGAATAAGAACCCCAGGAACTGATGCTTCGTTTGTTATTTAGCGGGTGGTGTCGACTCTGTTTTCGTTGTTAGCTAGTTTTTGTTTTTTTTTTTGTTTTTGGTTTTACTTGATGTCTATTTATTTTTTCATTTGTTTCCTTTTTAGAAATTTTAGTAGCAGCATTGTCCCCCTTTTTTTTTAAAGGAGTGTTTTGTAGGATCGAGTTGTAGAGGCGCTTTGGTTGCAGTTGTTGAGAGTATTTTTTCTGACGAGCAGAGTATACGAGGGTTAGTGTGCTAGGTTCTTGAGCAGGATCTGTGCGAGGCGAAGCCGACATGCGAATATGTAGTTCCAGTTGGAGATGATCGTAGAGGAGAGGACTGGAGTGATCTGTTATTCTGAGGGCTAGGACGGGCCGGTGATTAGAAATGGGGGGCGAGACGCAATGGCCATCGGCTGAAGCGAAAGAGAAAAATGGTATACCTCCACCGGCAGGGGGGACAGCCTCTGGAAACCCTACATCACAGATGGATGCTCCTCAAAGCTCTGGGCCTCCGCCCTTTCTTACTAAGACTTTTGAAATGGTCGATGATCCTGCTACTGATGCTATTGTGTCTTGGAGTGAGGTCGGCAGCAGCTTCGTAGTTTGGAATACTCCGGAATTCGCACAGGAATTGTTGCCCAAGTACTTCAAGCACAATAATTTTTCCAGCTTCGTCCGGCAACTCAACACTTACGTAAGTCATTGTCTTTCTCTTTAAGTCTTGCTCCTTTATCTCACCCTCCTTTGGTGACGGTGGTAATGGCGTCAGGGTATCTTGCAGGTACTGTTTGTACGTGTTCCTTTTGAAATGACTGAGTGCTTGGGCTGTGTGTATCTCTCAAGTTTCTCCTGTTGTTTGATCGTAGTGACAGTCTTCCTGTAATTTAGAGGTGATATAGCTGAAAGAAGTTTCGATATTCGTAATAGCTTAATGTGCTCAACTACAGTCCTCAGCTATGCGAGTCACGCCGTTGTATTTCTTATTCACTACGTTTCTCTTTGCTGCTTGTCTAGAACACTATCTATGGCCAATTTGATGTTTACAATTCCGTCTGATGGGCACTAAAAATTCTAGTGAGCACTCTGGGAAGTTTTCCCTGTTGCATCTGCTTGAAAGTTCTTCATTTTGTTCTCTGTCCAGTATCTCTTTATTATTGGCGTACGCTGAATGCTGTACCGATTCGTTGTCTCGTACTTCATATTGCAGAGATAGCTTTTGTTAGTGCCATTTTATCCGCTCACAGGATTTTCGCTTTCGAGACTTCCGTTTTTCGTGTTTCAAACTTCTGCACGTGCTTAATTTTTTATTGCAACCGGGAGTTCTACCGCCTATATCATTTATTAGTCTATCCAAATCTTTTAACATACTTGTATCTTGATATATTCTGGGCATGATTTGCCAAAGTCTGAGATTTCCTAGTGTTGTAAATTCACTCTTCAAGGAAACTTATGCGGTCATGTATCCCCCTCATTATCAACAGTTCCCCTTTTCCTTTTTGACGCATTGATTCGTCCTGGAGCAGGTCTTGGGTTTTTCAACTGAAGATGAAGTTGGGTTCATAGCAAGGTAGATCTAGGCAAAGTCATTCTGCACTTTCATGAAGTGTAGCACACTGAAGAATATCAGTAAGTTCACTTTTGAAACTTACATGATACCAAGAATCCAGAGCCTTTGAGATCTCTTTTTCCTTGAGGTTCCAGGAGTGTACCATTTTAGTGCATTTCTCTCACCATTTAGTTTTTTTTTGGTCACGTTGATTCTGCCTGAAAGGTTAAATTGTGCACCCCGTAGCTGTAACCAGGTTCTCCTATTTTTCATGACTAAATCCTCACACTAGCAACTAAGCGCCACCAGTTTCTGTTTTCTCGTCTTTAAACGATGTAGCTTGCAGGATGTAGACATGGCCTGATTTTTCTTTCCGAAGTACTCGTATCGGTTGTTTTTTCCCTCTAGTATTATGTTACATTTCCTAACGTGTAACGTGCTCTTCTCTGTTAATCATGTGGCTGCACGTGTCTTCTTTCTCTTTTTAATTTAATTTAAATTTTTTTGCGATTCTCTGCATGAAGGACTTATTCTTCAGCTGGAAATATGGTCGGAAAATTTTGGGAATTTTTCATAAGCCTGTTTTGTACTTTCGGATTGGATAATTCATAGAATAGTGATACATTCCCGGGGCTGCTAATTCGAATTTCTGACTATGATTCATGGGTGGTCAGTTCTTTTTAAAGTTCGGAATTAGTCTTTTTCTTATCTTGCCCAACGGCTTTGTTAGTCCAGAATTGGCTGCTATGACAGGGTGAGGAACATCACGTCCAGACAGTAGTTTTTGCCAGGATTTTCACCTTACAGTGAGGTCATTGTAGTTGTTTCCGAACATGACTTGATCACGTTTCTTTGCTAAAGATAAGGATGATTCCTTCCTACAGGGCTTTCGCAAAGTAGATCCAGACCGATGGGAGTTTGCCAATGAAGGGTTCTTGCGAGGCAGGCGAGACCTGCTCCGGAGCATTCATCGCAGGAAGCCCTCAAGTCATGCACAGCAGCAGCAAGGTGCATATGTGGAAGGCGGAAAGTCTGGACTTGAGGCGGAGATTGAGCGGCTGAAAACAGATAAAAACGTTTTGATGCTCGAGTTGGCTAGGGTTCGACAGCAGCAGCAGAGTACTTTTAGAGACCTGCAGGTATTCTTTTAGCTAGTGTGTCACTGTCTCAGTATTATGCATCTCAATCTTAAATACAGAAAATACTGGGTATGTCAAGAGGTTCAATTAGATGTTACAAATTGTTTTGCAGCTCTGTCAATAATCGAGCCCTTTTGGTCGTCATGACTTTATTTTATTTTATTTTTTTTTCTTCATTTATTTTTCTTTTTCTTTTTTGAACGTCTATGCTTATGTTGGGTCTGAATTTAAATCTACTGTAGAAGTAATTTGGCTTACTTGGCGTTATTTTTGACGGTGCAGCTCATGGCTCAGCGGTTACACGTATCAGAGTCACGGCAACAAAGAATGATTACCTTTCTTGCTAAAGCTATGGCAAATCCTTCTTTATTTGCTCAGTTTGTATCCCAACAAAATGAAAGCAACCATTTGGTGCGCAAAAAGCGACGACTTCCAATACAAGAGGATGGGGATATGGATGAATCTATGAGCCCGGAGTCATCTATTGAAAATCAGATTGTTACTTACCAGCCTTCGGAACTTGGAGAAGCTAGAGCACGTGCCAGGGTTATTGAGATCTTTTGCTCTTCTGACTCCCACTCCGCTATGGATAGCCGTCATTTTGAAGCCCTCATGCGAGAGCCAGACACTTCTCCTAATAGCGGAGATAGCAATATTTTGAATCGACAATCCAGAGTCACAGTCGAGGAAATTAATACCAAACTTCCTGATATTTTCTCTAGTGCGCCTGTTGTGATTGACGTGAGTGTCAATGAAGCGCAGGAAGCTACATCTATATCGCCACTCAACTTTGATATCATGAGAGCGTCATGTGAGTTAACTTCCCTCCAACTATATTTTTTCGTTTCACCCTGATTGCATTGTTTTGTTTAAACAGCCTGAACCCTGCACCGACAACTTGCTCAATTCATTGTGGGTCAGGTTGTCAGGTCCCTTGTGATGATGTCTACAGTTTACACGAGACCATCCTACTCTTGCTATTATCTAACCCCAAGTTCTTTTCAATGTCGCAGCCGGCGATAAATCTGCAGAGAGGAGCAGGCATCCTCACTCTGAATACCGTGATAGTAATGATTTGCATGAGCCGGACTGTAATAGAGGCACGGCATCCCATGAAGCTGAAGTGCAGAGCGCACGCACGGATTCCGCAGCGCACAATTCTGGTTTCTGGGAGCAATTCCTAACAGAAGACCCACAACCTGTCACCCGTGCCGAAATCGATCTTGAGCGTGAGCCTGAGTCTGAGACAGAAGATGTGTCGCAGGGTGGCAAGAATGCGCAGCAAAGTAGTTTCGGTAGGCCTCGTGTTGAATTCCTATCTCATCAATTGGGTCAGCTAGCGCCTGGTTAATTAACCTTTAAAATGATGTCGGGACTTGGTTGGTATTAGAATTATTATCTTGAGCTATTATAGCTCTTGTTACTTAGTTAAAAGACTTCGAGAGGATATGTTCATATTGATTGACGATCTCTATCTCATCACTCATAATCTTCTCCTCTTCAGAATTTTCAATTTGTACATATGTGGTCTGTCAGTTTGTTCTCTACCAGTTTTCATCACCTGTCACTTGTCGACCTATGCATGATTTTCGGGGGTGAAAGCAACGAAATGTTGAAGATGTGGATGCTTCTTGGCAGTTTTGCTGTGACCCTTAAATTTTCAGCAACCTTCCATAGTTTTAAAGTTCAATTACAAATTGCACGCTTCTAGATTCTTTTTTTATAATGGAACGTTACTGTAACATGAATGGGAACTAATGAGAATCTTTGTGTGGTGATTGATTAAAATTGAGAAAATTTTGAAGATTAATTGTACAGATCTTTGTTTTTGATAAAACTGATTTAATTAAAAGCAATCAAAATAATTTAAATAACAAGATCAAGCTACAAGCACACCCCAAGTTGTTACATGCACACCCATTAGACATACCCAAGGTTTTTGATTGGCTCATCCAAATCTTTTTTCCCTTGTCTTTGCGTGGGTCTTGGCCCTCTCCCTTTTGTCTTTGTGAGGGACGTGGCCCCTTCCTCTCTTCCTTGTCTTTGTGTGGGTCATGGCTCCCTCCCTCTCTTCCTTGTCGTTATGTGGGTCTTAGCCCCCTACCTCTCTTCCTTTGTCTTTAAGTGGGTCTTGGCTCCCTCCCTCTCTTCCTTGTCCAAGCATGGATCTTGGTCCTCCTCCTTTTCTCCCTTGCCTTATCCAATATCCTTATCCTTAGCTCCCTTCCCTTTCTTCTTTATCCTAGTATAGATCTTGGTCCCCTCTACCTTCTCTTTCTTATGAATAAGGGGGGCCAAGACAAAGAATAATTTGTATAGTCAATATCATTGATAATACACCTTTTGGCAAAATATATGAATGAATGAAGATTGTTTTTGTCACTTGATATTCTTAATAGATGAATGTCATCCTCAATTCCAATCTCAACTCTAGTGCCACCCTTATCCAATAGCTACATCTTCCTTATTTCCTATCCACTTATTAAAAAGCCTTGTTACTTCTCGCACGTGCCCATTGTTATAGAATTTGCTAGCCTCACTCTAAAATTTGAAGTACTTTGTAATGAAGCTAACCCTTTTGTTATGATGGTGCATCCCTTTATTTTCTCTTATTATTGTCGTATATAATATTCTATTGGATTCTCTTGCACATAGAGAGATTTATAGCTAATTGAGGTGTTTTTGTTTTTGAAAGGATTATGAATGATATGAATTCGATTTTGTGCTAAAGACAATGACATAGTGTGATTGCTTGCAGGCTTTGATCAAATGCATTGATAACAAGGTAATTATTGTGTTACAATTCTCTTTAATTATTAAATTGATTCACTCTATAATTTGTTAAAGACAAGGTATATTGGCTCTAAATGAGCTTCTTACCTAGGAGTTCATTTCCTTGCATACAATGCTAGAGAAGATACAAAGATTCCTATGAAAACTAATGCATTCCTCCAAATCAATTGGCTTTTTGTTGCACATGAGTTCTTACAATCCAAGACTCGAAATTGCAAATTCACAACAGATTTGAGTCTATAGTTGAAGAGCGGAGGTCAAAGAAGAAAGGATTGGGACTTGTGCTGAGACAAGGAAAAGAGATCCAAGTGTGTCAATTAGAAGCCTTGGATGTATCAAAAGATATAAGTGTACACATAACAACTTGGAATGATCTTGTATTCTATGCCAAATAATAAACATGGAAAACACTCTAATAATGTATAATTTAAATACTATAGATGTCAAAATTAATTATTTTGTAGGTTTGAAAAAAGACATTAAAGTTAAGGACATATAAAAAATAAGATTAAATACATTTTAAATAAAAGAAAAATTAAATAAATCATAAAAATTAAGCATTAATAGAAATTAAAAATAAAAGATAAATTGTGATTGAGTATTTAATATATATATATATATATTAATTTATAAAAATTTAATTGTAAAAAATAAATATAATAATTGAATACTTACAAATATGAGTTATTTAGTAGATTTATTTTATCAAATATAAAATATAGATAAGCTTTAATCAAATAAAAATTGATATATATTTTATTTGATCAAGCTTAGAAGTAATTTAATGTTGAAATTCAATATCTTGAGAAATAATCTATAATGCAGTAATTGAAATTTTTTTTATATTTAATTTAATTAATAAGAAAAATAAGTGTATTCTTTTCTAAGAAAAAATGATTTTAATCTATGTTATTGAAGGCAAATTGTACATGAACAAATTATATATATTTAATAAGTGGATTTAAAAAGTAAAAAACAAAGAATATTTTAGATAACTATAGTCTTATTAGTATTTAATTTTTGTTATGGTTTTTATAATAATAAATCAAATGTTAAATTATAAATCTTTGAAATCATGCTAATATTTTAATTTCTTCTAAAATTATTTTTAGTTTTAAAATACTATTAATGGATTAAATTTTAAAATAAAATATAAATATTTTTAATTTTTTTTAAAATAATTTTATAAATTTTTATTTTAAAATAATATTTTATTTTAAAAAAATTGGTTGAACTTTTGAATATTAAATTCACATATATATATATATATAGAAAAAAATCTAAGAAATTTTTTCTTTATAGTTTTTCTTTGAATTTTTGTTTTGTTTTACAAATTGAAAATTTTTATTTAATGTTTCTTATTTTTTTTAAATTGCATTTAGTTTATAAATAAGAAGAATAATTTCCAAACTTGTGCATACGGTTATAAAACTTTAAGTCAATATTTTTAGTACATGATTACATTAAATTTATTGATTTGATTTATTCCCTGTATTTGTGGTTTATTTCAGAATTAAGATTTATATCATTTTTTAATTTATTATAAAGAAGTAATTCTAAAAATAATTTTAGAGATGTAATTCAATGGTTAGACTTCTAAAAATACATTTAATATTGTGATGTATAAATCTTATACAAATAAAAAAAATAAGGACCAAACCTTTTTTGAAATATAAAAATTTTTATGCACAAAATCTTGGATTGGAAAAGAAATTAAAGTAAGAAATATTGTTATTCTATAGAAAATCTAATAGAAAATCTAGTGAATAAAAAATTTACTAATAGTTTAAATATTATTCCTTATAAGTAGTAGCATGTTACATTGTATGCATGTTTTTTGCATCTAAGCCTTGTGTTTTGAATGAACACAATCTCTCTTCTATATTTTAATAAATGTTCGAACTATTTGTATTTATGTATTGAAGTACAAAAGAATGTTTACATGTACTTGTGGTATGTGCCACAAGTTTGCTTGTTGATTTAATAAAATGAAATATTAATGGTAAATATTGAATATTATTGTAGATGTATTTATTTGACAAGATTATTCAGTGCATACAAACTTACATATTTAAATCAAATATTTACATGTGCTTTAATATTTATGTATTGAAGTTCTTAGGAGTTGGTTAGAAAATTTAGAGTGTAATTTAAGTAATTTGATCTTTATAGAAACATTTTAAGTTTTTTGTAGAATTTAAATATGTAACTATAAATACTTTAGTAAGTTGTGAATCAAAGAATGCATTGCTAAGAATCAAGAGGCCTAAAATAATTCAACTAATAGAATTTGTTATAAAAATATCAATATAAAAATCTTTTGGAATTTTTATTTTTTATTTTTATAACAATTTATTGAAAAAATATTTAACTATTAAATATAAATAATTTGGTATCAATTGTATTTACATAAAAGAGGAGTAAAGACTTTCAAGAAAAATAGACTAAAGTAATGATAGTAAAGCAATGGTTATTAAAAACCCCAATAAATAGAACATATACACTTAAAAATTTGAAATGGAGTTGGTTTTGGCTTTCATAGACTTTTAAAAGACTATAAATATTAAAAAAAGCCTTTTCCAACAAAAAATTATAAAATTATTTTATGATGATTATTTGAGGTGATTAAAGATGCTATTTTTAAAACTATTTTATTTTGATAAAAAAATATTTTATTTTATTTTATTAATTAAAATATTTTTAAAGATCCATGGAAAATAGTTTGTAAAATGTCTATAAAATCAAGGATCTATCAAACTAAGTATTTGCTCAGTAATAGTTATTTAGATATAAGATAGAAGAGGATGGCACTATTTTAATCCACACTAATAAGAAAAAGACTCTTCTTAAACAACTTAGAGTTGTAAATACTATTTTACAAAATTAAGATATGTTAATAATGTTATTTATAAATTTAGAAAATTCTTATAGGATTTTAATTTGTATTTTAGATTTTATAACAAGAAATAAAAGTACATGCAAATATCCCACACTAAACTAAGTGTATAATATATTGTAGTTTTTCAAAAAATCCTTAATATTTTATCTAATCCTAATTATAAATTAAGAGTTTAAAAAATATCACTTTTTTTAAAAAAAATAATATAATATAATTTTTATATTTATATATTTTTTATTTAAAAAAATTTAAATCATTTTAATCTTTTAAAAAGAAGAATAAAAATATACGAAATTTGTAAAAGAAACCACCACATATTTTATGCAAATAGAACAAGTATAATAAGTGTGATTTGCACATGCATTTTTGATTTGGAAGCCAATAGAAATATAACTCTTCATATACATATATTTTATATGTATAAAATTTATTGTACTAAAAAGAATATTTACTAGCAACAACATAGTTAAAATAATTATTCAAGTTTTTTAATTTCAAATAATTTGTTTTGGAGAATGAAAAAAGGTTCTCAATGCTCTTAAGATGGCTTCAAAACTTCTTATAGTTAACAAGCTATATAATACTATTTGAAAAATAATAATTGGTAAAATATTTAAATATAAAAATGATAATTGGAATTTATACCAAAATTCTTTGCTTATTTTTTTATTTTTTATTTTTATCTTTGATTTATTCTTTTTTGTTTATCTTTTAGCTTAAAAAAACTACTTGTATAAAATATTCACATTTAGAACCTTAAGTTAAAAAATTTATTTGGAGCTTTTAAAAAAAACCTACAAAGTAGAATATAATATAATTTTTATTGATTGTTTGAGCTTTAGAATAAAATTAAAGAGACTAAGAAATAAAAAAAAAAAGAAAAAGAATAAGTGTTATACTAACATTAATATAAATTAATATTAGATTCATATATCTAAAACATAAATGATAAACTTTATTGTATCATTGTTATTATCTTGATTTTTCAAAATAATATGTTTAGTCATAATAGGTTTAAGAAATACAACCTACAAAGTCATACTCAAAGAGATGGTAGTTTGTTGTATATTCATCCAATCAAAAAATTGAAGAAATTCAAGACTCCTGGGCACATCCATTATTTATGGTAGCCCAAAGTAAAGCCTCTTAACTTGACCTCAGTGGCCCACAAAAGAGGAGCCTAATGATCATAAAAATGTGCTGCAAACAAGATTTAAACTCAAGATCTTCTAAAGTGTGAAACTTTTACTTGCCATTTGCATTATGACCTATATCTATTGCTCTCTCTACTCCCTCCCTCATTGAAAAATAACAATTATTTGTAACTTATATAGACAAAAATAAAATAAAAATTCTCTTGCCAATTGTTCACAAAATTTATAAACAATATCCAAGAACAAAAACCCTTTGTCCAAATGTCACCATATAAACAATCATCCATGCAATAACATTCATCAACTGATTCCAATTTGGAGATAATTTTGCCAAAATGGCCATAACTAGTATGGCTAATCAAATCGCATCTTTTAGTCTCCACATACCTGGAAAACTTGTCTAATCAAAGCCCTAATCTCTTGCATCGATTCGCAGAAACAACGCTACATGCCTCCTTCGCTGAGGATTCTGTTTTTTTTCCTTCCGCTGCTGGCTTTTCACAAACAAATCAGTAACACTCTTTTGGCTTTTCCATGTATAAAAGAAGAACCTCATGATCTGTCACGCAGCTTGTGTGTTTCAAGTTAAGGAAAACAACCACCAGAAAACTAGTGGAACGCAAGCTAAAACCGCGATCTTTCCTGCATTGATTCCATAAACTCCCCTCAATTCAGCTTACTGCTGACATATGAACCAAAGGCTCCTCCGTCTTTTGCACTACTACCCTGCAAGTTTTCATGTTGTTTCTGAGCTGAAGAGGCTCTTAGAGATTCCCTCATGCCCATGTCTGCTGCTGCTGCTGCAAATCCCGGGTCTTCACTCATCTCTGGATTTCCTTGCCAAAACAAAATGGACCCAGTTGATGGTTCATCGTTTCCAACGCAGCCCAGTTGTTGTGAACCCTCACAAGTCGTGTCCCTTGCAGCTGCACAACATGTGCGAGGGAAAACACTGTTGCAGCTGCAGCTCGGTGTGAGCTTCTCACCTTGAGCTTGAGCTTGCTCGGTGTCGGTAGCTGTCAACCTGTCCAGCGTTGTTAAGACAGCCGCCGGTGTGAGCACAGCTGGCTGCCGGTGGGAGGCGAATTCCTGTTGTTGTTGTTGTTGTTCCTCAGGTGATGAGGAATTCTCGTGATCTTCACTTCGAAGAGTCTCCTCATTTGAAGCTCCCGTGATGAATGTGTTGTTTCCACTACCTCCCACTACCTCCCATATTTTGTTTTTCCGGTGCAACTTGTTTGCAGCCATGGACTTGTATGCATCAGATTCATCCCCGCTCTCGTGACCGCCTTTGTGCTCTTGCGGTGTGGTGGCAGGCGTTGTGGCCGTTGCAGGGTCGGGTTCTCCGTCGAAGTACATCACGAATTTGGCTGCTGATGCGGTCCGCATGAGCGGGCCACCTGCTCTCGTCCACGAAAGCTGATTTTGGTCCAGATTATCGTCGCTGTCGCTACCATCATGTGGGATCCGCACTGGTCTCAGGGTCCGCAGCGTGGGGCCTCCCCAAGGACCCCCATTTTGCACACCCTCGTGAAGACTCTCTTCATCTAGCGAACCGCAGGAATTCTCTCGGGCGATGATGTTCCAGGATGGGATACGCTTTGTTCCTGATAACCCGCGCATCCCACCATGGCTGCTCTGCATTGCGCTGCGCTCTATTTCACGCAGGGCTTTCCTACGACGGTTTAATTCAGAGACACATTCGTCTAGCATCAATTCTATGCCACAGTTGGCCTGAATGGCTGATAGCTTCGCCCAGGTGCAGCGTCGGCCTTGCATCACTGCCTTGCGAAGATCTGTGGCTGTCAGGTTCGTGATGATCTTGGCAAACTGCAACAGATGGTGTGTTAGTGATGGCTGATTCGGGGATTGTAATGTAAGAAGAGACATTTTGATGCAACGTTCGGCGTAATCTGTTGAGGTAAGCCACGATGCATTGAGTAGATGTGAGCAATAGGCTGCGCACCTGGGCAAAAGTGGCCGGCATCACAATCGTGACATCTCCTTCCCAATCTTGTGCGAAGAGCTTAGCCAATCCAAACACCTCAAAGCCCATCTCCATCATCTGCTTGCACCGGTGCTTAACCTCCATCTCCGCTAAGTGTGCCAACTGCACACGTTTCTCAAACAAAAAAATAAATATACGAGGGACAAAATAGAAAAATGGAAAGAAAAGAAAAGAAGAAACGATCTGATAATCTTAAATTTCCTTAGTAACAGCTTCAAGAGGTTTCAGAAGCTGACAGCGTGAAGATCGATCAATTCGTTTTCCAAATTTACAGTGTAAAACAAGTCATTGCACTTACTTTTCCAGCGAAATCTCCTCCATATGCACGAACAAAATCCTTGAACCTCAAAAATGGTGTAATATGCGGATTCGCCTGGCTGACAATGAAATGATTCACATTAAACAGTTCCTTCAACTGCATCATTGGCAAATCGCTTTCCAGACTGCCGTCTCGCCATCGCCGCTTCCCAATCCCCTTTTCCATGTCCTTGTCCTCGGGGCCAACCTAGAGCAGCAATTCACCACAACACGCTCAACTGCAGAAAATATAACAAGCCATTAACCAACCTCTTCGTCGTACCTCACCAGCACAAAGTTTTCACGATTGTCGATGCTGATGTATGTTCGTCTAAACACAGAATTGTGGTTTGAGCACAAAACGACTTGCAACAAAACGGCTTCAAGCTTTGCAGAGGCCAACCTGAGGTGGCGAATGATAGGGTACAAGTTGACCAGTTCGATCCTTCGCCATCAGCTCCTGTGCTTCAAAAAGGCCTGGGAATGCGCAGGATGCAGTGACTGCGCTCCAAATGACTACATGGGGAGAAGTTAAATAATTTAAACATCTCGGAGGCTCGAGTCTCCGAGGTGAGCATACAGAGATTCCAAGCACGCGGCCAGATAGATCGTAAGCTTCCTGAAAGGTCAAATCCCCAATGAGCTGTCTCATTTTCCTTTGCAGCATACCAATTTCATGCACAGCACCTCGAGTCAGAAGCCTGTGCGCAATAGCAAAAATGCTCCCCATGTTTTCGAAAAAGTGCATGGGGGGCATGGTGTCTTCGAAAAAGCTCTGGAGCTCTGTCCAAGTTCGAGTTGCAGCAAATGAGCATATGACAGATCCCACACTGGCACCGGCAATCACTCGGGGAAGTAAACGATGCTCGACAAGGGTTCGAACAACCCCAAGATGAAACGCTCCAAGAGCTGCTCCACCACTCAGAAGAAGTGCAGTGCGACCAAAACCATGGCGGGTTTCATGAATAAAAGCAATTTTTTCGTCAAGTGTGAAGCTGTCCGAGTCGCTCCCACACACAGCTCGAAGATGGTATCTAGCGCAAGTCATGAAGAATTAGTGAAGATTAGTTCCGATATTTGATACTCGCTGCGATCGAACCCCAGCTTAAGGACATTGTGACAGGAGAAAAGGACCTAAACATGGGAGTTGATTGTTTTAAATTTTTTTTGCTCTAACCTACACGATGAGAATTTAGAAAGGCCGACAAAGATACGAAGATATACCTCACTTCGTTGATGTATTCCTGGATGAGGGGGGGAGTTTGTAGCCGGCCTTTGTGCAGTTCGGGATTGCACATGTTACCCAAATTACGCACTAAATCGGCCCTAATGCAGAAAAGAATGTCCTCCACACCACCCTCCAAACGACGCAATCGAAGATCGTTGAGCTTCGAACGCACCAAATCCTCATCGTACAAGTCTGAATCTTTCCTCCGATTCTGCTCCTTCTCTAGCATCCGCGCCGCATGAGCCCATTCCTCATACGTCAAAGCTGCCCTCATTAAATTGGACCAGAACTTCCGTCTGTACGCAATCTCTGCTTTCTGAGACCCTGCCTTCGCTCTTCTCATGAGCATGGTTGCTACAACGGCAGCTAACAGAAGGACGCTGGGATTTCGAGGGTTCAACCACCCAAACCACATATAGAACACCTGTCTCCATACCCTCCGTGTCCGCTGCAGCCTCTTTGCGAGGGCAACACGAAGCTCTTTCACCCAACGACAAAATAGGACGCGAAAGGCCACAACTCTTTGCGCCAAAGTCAGAGGTCCAATGCCGAAATGCTCTAGCGCAGCGTCGGCGTCAGTGTCTAAGTAATTCATTGTAAACAAAATTGTTCGATCTTGCTCGAAACAAAATCCTTTTCGGCCTCCAACCCTGAATGTTCTCAGCGCGCATGTTCACATTGCCAACCCATGAAATCCCTGGCAAGAATGACTTCGTCTCAATCTCCACTCGTCGGGACCTTCACGATCCGACCCAATTGTCTGCACACAGCTTCGTCCCTCGTGGATCGCATGACAACATAATTGATGTCACTGCGATGCTAAATCCTCTGGCATCCCCTAGGATTGTATAGCTCCCTACCCTGTGCTGGATTGCTACCCACAATCCTAACCGCCCACGATCATCCCCCCCCACAGAATTCTCTTCGCTGACTTCTCCACAGGTGATGTATCACACACGCCAAATCCAGGAACGTCAACAACTCAGTATGGATGAAACGTAGCCCACAAACAAAACCGCTATGCACCACCGAAACACGCAATTCCACAATTCCCTTCCAATCGCACAACAGCTGGGAATTCAATTGTGACGCAGTCACACAATCAGTGTAGATCTACACGACGCCGTGCTCCTCTCCGTCGTCGGCAAGGTCGCACTGACGATCAAACAGTGATGACGAATCATTACGAGGAAATTTTGAGGATAAAGAGGAGGATCAGGCATAATTGCCGAAATGGAAAGAAAGGCACAGCAGTTGGGCTTAGTTCTGTGATTTGGAGCATCAAGTTTCGGTGAGTGAAAAGTGGCGATCATGGCGTGAGGGAAATCTGGCAGGAGCTGGTCCCACCCTTATAAGAATTCAGACGATTACGCTAACCCACACCTCCTTTGCTGCCACATCAAACGGACTTCATCGTGGATAACCACGGCAAACGGAACCTTCACTCGAAATTTTTAATACACGCATACATCGGCCAATTTTTCTCATGCTGTTTTTTCCGCTTCATATTTTCTTTTTTGTTTTGTCCTTTCTAGTTTTTCTTTTTTCTTTTTTTCATTGCTGCACTTTCGATCCTCCTTTCAAATAATTAAGCGGTTAATGAGGTCAGCAACAACCCCATCTCCTCAAGTATACTGCAATGCCTCTCTTACAAGAACACTCATCGCCGCCCATAAATGCCCCGCCCTCTCATGCAATTCCATCCAACCCTCCAAAATTCCAAAGAAAGTGAATCAAACTCCTATTGGGCAATAAATTTCCATCACCAGCTGCAGAAACCCAACAACCATCGTGACAGGTTCGAGAAAATTTCAGAGTCTTGGGTCTCCCACGTCCACTCTGGCGATGTCGAAACTGACGGAAAAGCTTTGCTTTTTTTTTTCAAGCGAAGCGAAAAAAACCCTCAAAAAGGAAATCAATGCGGACGTATAAAGGAAAGGCTGAAATATTTTTGTTGCTGGCGCGAGAGAGAGAGGGAGTGTGGACGATCGGCGGGACCACAATTGAGCTCAATCGAGGGAAATGGCATCGTTTCAGGCCCGCAAGGAGAGACGAGGAGCGCGGCCGTCGCAACGTCCGACGCCGCTCTAGGCGGAAAAGCTCCCCCATTTCCGAGACGGATTCCGGATATCAACTTTTTCCGGGTTATCAACACGTGCATAACATAAGTATATTGCGGGTGTCAATTTCCTAACGATACCAGTCAAACAAAAGTTGTCAACTTCTAACCAGGAGCGCTTCGGGCGGGTATAAACTTAGAGGTGATTTGTGAGCATAAAAGTGATATAAGAGTGACAAATCTGGTTTGAGATATTTATATAATTCATTAGACTTATGGAAAGTCCTAGAACTTAAGTTGAGAGTGTTTTGAGAGTGAAAGCACTAGTTTATTCACAAAGAAGGCATTTTGAGATTGTAAGGTAGCAACACCTTTTTGCTAATATTGAGAGCTTTAGGACTATTTTTCTTGATCTTTTTTGATGCATCTCTTCCTTGGACATGGCTTCAAGTAAAGGTGAAGGCTTGAGAGCAATTTTGAGGTGAGAATTTCTACCATTGGAAGGTAAAAATAGAACTTTTATTGGCTTCTTTGGATCTTTGGAATATTATAAATGAAAGTAAAGAGCCTCCAAGTATATATGCTGATATAAAGGAGAAGAAGGACTATAAACGTTATGAAAAAAAGGCTTTTAGATTGATTGCATGTAATGTTGATAAAGTCAATTTCTCCCACATTATTTCTTACAACGTCCAGCAAAGACATAGAAAACTCTTTGCAACATCTATGAAAGTAAGAACGTATCGAACATCATCTATACAAGGAAGAAGTTCTTTACTTGTAAGATGGAAGAAAGTGAAGACCATGGTATATATCAACAAGGTGAAGGCACTTGCAAATCAACTTATAATTATAGACAAGCTTTTAGAAGATGCACATGTTGTCATGCCTCTTATCATGAAACTTGTCAAAATCCTACAACTACTTCTTTGTAGCTTTGGAATCCATTAAGATGAAAGAATTCACAATAAACTATGTGACACCAAGACTTAATCATAAAGTCATCAAGAAGAAAGAAAAAGAGCCTCAAAGTGAAGATTCAACACTCTATTCACAACAAGGCAAGAACAACTATTCAAACCAATGAGGTAATATTAAAACTTCTTTCATTTATGATAAAGTAAGATATTTTGCTCAATATTGCTGCAAAGGTAGAAAGTTAAAAAATAAAAATATAAATACTATGCGAGATGAATTTGGAAGATAAGATTATACATTCACAACAACAAATAGCATTTCTATGGCTACCATGTCAAGATGGATTGTGGACTGAGGATGTTCCAAGCATATGATATCTTATTGTCAAGGACAAGAACTCGATGAAAAAAAAATTCAGACAAGTGAGCCTTCACTCAAAGAGAGGTAACAAAATATATATAAACAAGTATATATATTGAAAGAGAAACTGGAATGGCTATTGCCAAAAGACAAGAAAACTAGAGACCCTTGAAACTAGACTAAAAGCAAGAAAGGAGTTGACAAGAGTGAAGAAGCCTTCACTCTTGTCTCTATATATATTATCTAACTAGGAGCTACGTGGCGACGTTCTATAGGACCTCCAATATGTGTTGACTTTGTAAGACACATGCCTTGACTTACAAGGCAAGTTTTTCTACGTGTGGGCCACATAGTTAGCTTGATCTTCAAGCTAACAACATGTGTGGCACATGGCCAACTTTTTGACCACGTTTCTAATCCAAAAGTCAATTAAAAACACCTATGAAGTCAAAGCAGCATCTAGGAAGCTTCTAAGAAGCTTCTATATTAAATATTATAGAATTAACTTATTTTTATCTACTTTTACTTACTTCTACCTATCTGTATATGTAATTATTAGCTTACATGATTATGGCCGTGACATTACCTCCCCTTCTAGAGACGAGTTCCACGAGGAGCGATCATCATATGTTGAGAAAATCTATGATGCGACGAATTATATTCGCCACATACTCTGATCTCTGTTCTCTTCGAAGATGATTGATAGGGCCTCTCAACCATCGGTAGTGTCCCATACCAGGGCGGGAAGACCACCCACTTATTTGATCATTGTTGAGGCCTTCGTAACTTCCTTCGAATAGAATATTTAGAATACCATCAGGAGTTGTTCCTACCTCTAGCAAAATCACCAAACATCGAGAGTCCTTTCCCAAATCGTGATACCAAACGCGTTGTATCTCACCATCTGTTCGAGGAAGAACATGTCATTCTTGAAGATCTTCATCTCGATTGCGTCGTCTTGAAGGTTGTGACAATCGTAATGTCTCGTCCGATAGGTCAGCAAACGAAGGTTCTTGAGTTGAATCCACTGGTTGTTGGTTCTCCATCTCTTGAGTGCCACTACTATAACGAAGCTACAAACAAGAATTGAAAGTAGAATATTATCTTGCCTAAATGTTGTTTCTTTTATAAAGAAGGTTTCATCTTGATTTTGATGAATGTCGTCGATGAAAAGCTTCCACCGCCTTTGTTGCATTTGCAAGATTTTTTATTGGCTTCCATGTGCGTTCACTAATACCATATCCGTGCCAATGGATAAGATATTCTAATTTATTTCGGCGCCGCCTTGAATCTAAGACTTCTTCTACTTCAAACTCTTCATTATTATCCACTTCTGTAGGAGGAGGTGGAGCTTGTCGTCTTCTTGGTATGTCCACTGTCTTATATGGTTCAAGAAGAGACACGTGGAATACTGGATGGATTTTCATTGACTCCGATAGATATAAACAATATGCAACTAGATTGATTTGTGCAGAAATAGAAAATGGTCCCAGCCTTCCATAGTCCAACTTGTCACAAGGACGAGTGGTCTTGATATTACGACGAAGTAACCATACCCTATCACCCAAGACGAATGATGGTTGATCCTTTCGATAGACATCCGCATTGACCTTTTGTTGTTGTTGAGCCTCTTTTAACTGCGCCTTCATCGTTGCATGTAGCTCTGATAAATGAATTGCTAAATCTTTCGCAGCAGGATTATCAACTTTTGAAAAGTCAAAAGTATCAAGTCATAGATGATAACCATAATTAGCAAAGAAAGGTGTTTGTTTTGTAGAAGAGTGTACCATGTTATTGTAAGCAAACTCTGCCAATGGCAAAAGAGTTGTCCAATCATCTTGTTGGTAATTAATGGTACATCTTAAATATTGCTCCAAAACTTGATTAACATGCTCCGTTTGTCCATCAGTTTGAGGATGGAATGCCGAAGATAATTTTATATCCACTTTAAGAATCTTGAAAAGAGTTCGCCAAAATCTTGATACAAATTGAGTTCGCCTATCAGATATAATATCCTTGGGTAATCCATGATAGCGATAGATATTGTCAAAAAAGAGCTTAGCTGTTTCTTCACCTGTGATAGATTTTGTACATGGTAGAAAATGTACCATCTTCGAAAAACGATCTACTATCACGAATATAGAGTCATAAAAACCTGAGATTGGAAGATCCGTGATGAAGTCCATAGAAACAGAAGACCATAGTTGTTCTGGAATGGGTAATGGCTGAAGAAGTCTAAAAGGTCGATGACGAGGAGTTTTCGATCTTGAACAAACTTCACATGATTGTATAAAATCTTTAACTGCCTTCCACATTTGAGGCCACCAGAAATCCCTAGATATCAGCTCCAAAGTCTTATTATATCCAAAATGTCCTGCTGCTGGGAAGTCGTGATGAGCTTGAAGAATACGTAAACGAGCTTTTCCTTCTGGAACATATAGGCGTCCTTCGAAATAGAGTAGGTTGTTCTTGAATTCAAATTTAGATGGATCATGAAATTTAGAAGAATTGTTCTTGATATCATGAACAAGAAGGTCTGAAGACATACTTGACTGGACTTGCTTAAGGAAAATTAAATCAACAGTCAATGTTGATTTTATTGCTCGAAGATGAAATTGTTTCGGCTTCAAGAGAACCGTTCCTTGTTACTCAAAAGCTACATCTCCTTCTTTTGGTGTAAGATAAGAATGTCTAGACAAGGCATCGGATAAACCTTGTTATTTTTCTGGCCGATAAGTGATGATGAATTCGAATCTTGATAAAGACATGCTTCAACGAGCTTGGCGACGATTTAATATGCGTGCTGACATAAAATAATCAAGGTTCTTGTGATCCGTATACACAATGTCTGGACTAAAAGCGCCTTCTAGATAGTGACGCCATTCTTGAAAAGAATCCACAATTGCAAGAAGTTCTTTGTCGTGGATCTCATAATTGATTTCTGCTGCTGAGAATTTTCTTGAATGAAAGGCTACTGGATGAAGTTTGTCATCTATTTCCATTTGTGATAAAACCGCATCCAGAGCAAAGTCTGATGCATCTGTTTCCATAAAGAATGCTTTGGAAAAATCAACACAATACAAGATTGGTGCAGAAACAAACGCTGTCTTCAAAGATTCAAAAGCAACTTCTACTTCTTGATTCCATTGGAGTTTGTCTTTACAAGTCAAACGTATAAGTGGAGATGTAACTCGAGAGAAGTCCTTGATGAAGATTCGATAGTAGTTGGCAAATCCCAAAAAACATTGGACATCTCTTACTGTTTTTGGGATCTTCCAA